CACTTCTTTCAAATGGCTGCGGGAACGACGGTTTGTTGCCTTTTCCGAAATTGTGATGCAGCGGCGGAACGGGTCGAGTCCCAAAGACTCCGCGGAAAAAGATTAGAGAGAATATGACGACTTGTCTTCAACCCCTATGAGCTATACTCTGAGGCGGATGCCCCACGGTTCTGGGATGGCAGTGCGTGAAATCCTTTCAGGCGACTCATTTTCAGGACAAGAACCAGTCTGGACATTCTTCACTACGAGTTCGCGCCACCGCTGCCTCATCGAGATTTTCCGAACATGAATTTAGTTGTGATGCAGCTATACGAGTTAAATCCTCGAATGGACGAGATCCCAGAGATAAGGTTAATGTTCGTTCATCTCGTACTTTGGATAAACGAATGGCAAGGTTCATTCTTCGGTATATATCATACGAGACGAGGGCGGGCAAACAGGTTCAGTATTCTACGAGTTGAACCTTTCTCTGAGTATGCATGGCAGGATGAGGAGGACGAACTCGAGGAAGGATTACGTGACTAATGTAATTTACGTTTTGACACGCAAATGCCTGGAGCACGACGCGGCTTGACGACCCCGAGGTACCTGCTGGTTTGTGACACACATGAGGTCGATCTTATCAGAGGAGCGGAGCAACTTTTACGGGTTCGAGACGGTTCTCTTACTGAATGGATTAGCTTCATCGGGATATTACAAAACAACGAGGGATTTTTTCCCACTACTCGCGCGGATTTCCGGGCAAATACGGCCCTGACTCAGGATGAGTTTTTTGGATATACCTTGTATTTCCACCGCGCGAGTAATCTCCAATGTCTCTCTCGAGTCATTGTGCGTATCACGATTACCTCGTCCGGCAGACGTATCGGCATCATCCGGATCCGGGATACTGAGACCAGACACTTGTTTGGACTCAGTCGGCCTTTCCGAGTCATAGTGTGGAGACTAGCCTCACGGATGACCTCCCTGTATGGTACTCAGATTTTTAGAGTCATGCGAGGTGGGCAAGCGACAACCCTGGTACTTGACAACGACGAGCGGGCTTGTTTGGATTTGCTGGAGGCACAGGTGCGCGGAGGACGACAAATTTACCAGGGCTAGACGCGCTTTCTGGAAATCTTATTCAAATTCTAGAAAACCCCCTTGCATAGACTATCCCGTCGAGGAAGCCATATGATCTATGGCTTCACGAGGTAATCTCGAAAACAAAAACAAAAACAAAAACAAAACACTACATGTAGCTAGGACCGCCGGATGGATAGTATTCGGATTACCCCGATGATTTCACTATCATGCTTATGCATTAAGGGGTAATCGTTCGCATAAAAATAAGCTGAATAAAGTGAAAAGCGAACGTCTGAAAAAATTGTTAAGCGTAATGACAATGGCGAAGCAGCGGGAGGCGGAACATTTTAATGTTGAGTAACTTGGTGTTGAAGATGGATACTCCATCATTCGTGAAACAAAAAGAGTAATTATTGTCCAGGTGGACAAAGCGACCAATAAAATTTCATTCGCACTTCCAGGTAGTTGCATATGGTGCGCAGGTGTGGTCGAACCGAGAATTCAAACATTGACCAGGAACCAGATCACTTGTTGATCTGCATGATAGCAGTGGCTTACTTGCAGAAGTTATTTACGACAAACTTCAATAGTCATGATAGGAAGATCAGTCCTAGTTCTTTCCATCAATTATTAATTTTAGAATGACAACCAAGTGTGAAGCTCTCAGCGAGACGAGCAAACGCCCTCGACTGATCTACCTTTGCGATTGCATTTAAAAGCCTTCGCACGTGGGTCAATAGCTCGGTAGGGATACGCCCCTAAGGGTGGTGACAACCCCTTAGGGATGCAAGCTTATGCCCCGCGCAAACCTATCCTGTCGTAGGGGATCGCGGGATGTATAGCTGGCGCACCCGGCTAGAGCGGCGAAGGAGCGATGCAACCGCGTCCGTCTCGGCGGTTCGCGGAATGTTATGCGTCGTTCCCGAGTTGTCTCTGGATGGTTTTTGTTTTGTTTATCTCCTGCGTGACATGGGCGGGAGGGGCCTCGCTCGCGCGGGGGCCGATGCGCTCGACACCGGAACGACACATAGCAGGTAAATATTCCCCCAGCCCGTGCTTTTCCAGGCAGGCTCCACAACAGATCTGCGTTCCCCCCTATACTCACTTTTCACACTAGGAGAACGAAAATACCCAGTAAGTACATCAGCATGTCACTGACTCCTTTCCCTTCCTCATTGCCTTTCTATTCCTCTGTCTCTCCTCCTAATCTCACTCACTCTCTCCGTCGCCTCGCAGGTAATCAGTCAGATCGCAACTTCGGGCAGGTGAGTCCGCTTTTCCCACTTACGCCCCCCCCTTACTTCTGTTGTTTCCAAATGCACCTGGACCCGACATCGCGCCCGGTTCACTTATCCAACTCTTTTCTATCCCCGCTAATTTTTCCTCATACGCCCAGTTGCTACTAACCCCTCCTTACTAACTCTTACCCAGATTCAGACACGAAAGCAAAGTCGCCCATCATCAAACCCCACAATAGTCTTTTCTTTCTTCGAATCTGCTCAAAAGTGAGCGAGATATACGTATTCCCTCCTTCTTCTTCCCTCGCTCCCACCATAGCTCATCGTTCCATGTTTCCTACTAACTCACTTCCTACTAATTTATCACTCAAACTGAATCCACTATCACGGCCGCCTCGACTAGGAACCCCGACTTTGCCTTTTAGCTCGTTCGATCCTACGCAGGATCGAGCGAAAACATCGCTTTCCCAAGTCTTGCGATTCTTACCTCCCAACTCCTTCTCGCAGTATCTTTCTCTTCTAACTTCCTACCAACTAGCTTCCCTTCTTTTCTGGCCTCACCATTGGATTCGCCCGAGGTAAAAACCCTGGGATTGCCTCTTACCTCTCTCGATTCCACCAAGGATCGGGAGAGCTAGGCCATACCGGATGCGCCCGACTCACTTCCGCCATCTTCACTTCAACTGTACCTGGCGCGAAATCGCGCCAGGTTCATCCTGTCGTCTTACCACCTCATCGTTCTCTCCGAGCATCGCTGTTCCCCGACCGCAGCTGTCTGTGCAGCGTCTTGAGCCTCGGAGGAGCCTACTACTCTAGACGGTCCGAATAGTCTTTCGCCTCTCCCCTCACTGCCCTTCGTGCTCCTCCTACTACCTCGAATGCAACCGTCGCTGCTCGTCATCCGGGTTCAGCCCCTCTTTCCTCTCGCTCGCTGCCTCCGTTCCCCGTTACTAGCTTCGTCCCTGTAGACCTCCTTCGGGCCGACGCAGTGCCCGACAACAGCCAACTCTTAAGTCGTACGAGCTGTTCCGCAGTTCCAACTTTCTGTTGCAGGGAAATCGGAGGAAACCAGCTACTAGACGGTTTGATTAGTCTTTCGCCCCTATACCCGGAGGCTGACAACCGACCTGCTAGGCTGCTATCGCTCCAGCCTCCGCCACATTCCCCTCCGGACTTCTTCTGGCCTCTCCCTCAACCAGGCCCCGCCACCCCTTCAGCCTCTCAGCGGACAAGCCCTATCCCGACTTCTCAAAGCAAGCCGTGGAGTCGAGGGCGCGGGTCTGGTATGTGCCCAAGCGCAGGCCTAGGCAAAACGGCCCGGCGCAGATCTTTTTGTGGTAGAAGCAATTATTCAAATGAGAACTTTGAAATTCGAGGCGGGGGAAAGGCACTATGGGAATGGCCGCTGCAGCCAGTACCGTTGTGGTGCCTCCGTCTGGTGCTCCCTGTGCCCAAGCACACCTCCCCCCCCTCCGTTGAGCCCCCAACTGACGCTCTCAGAATGTCCTTCGACTCCCTTTCACTTTAGGCTACCGACACTCTCCAAGTGGAAAGTGAGGGAAGCCATGACCACGGACCCCACCACACTTGCACACGTTGACTTCCTCGGTCCGTGTTCCAACGTCGGTAGGCCGGAAAAATTTCGCCAACATCCCCAATACGCAGGAACTCGAACGAGTCCATCAAAAGAGGTGCATGATCAAGGTCCTCGACTGCCACGACGACCGCCTATGTCCGGAAATCTAAAAGTAGAGCCAGGCCTGTCGGTCTCGACGTCCGTCTCAAACTCGATCACCAAGCTAAGGACTTTAGAAAACAATAAAACAATAAATAAATAAATATATAAAAATAAGAGTAGGAATAAACGCCGCGCGTTTTGCTGGTCTGCAACGTCGCGCACGCCCAGGCCGCGTATGGATGCGCCTTGCCGCCAATACCCCGCGCGCGCCGCTCACCCGGGCGAGGCCGCACTCGTGCGACTTGCAGAAAACACGCCAAATACCCTTGTAAGGGTAGTTGGTATGACAACGGTGTGGGGTGGAGGTGACGACGTTTTTGTAAGGGGTGAGGAGTCGATCGATTTGGAGGCAGCGGTTAAGGAGGTCGTGGAGGGGCATTGAGGGTTCGTGGACGAGGCCGGCTGCGAGATCCTTGTGGCATACTCGTTTTACACGGGAGATGAAGACGACGTCGCTTATGAAGTCAATGGGAATGTGTTGGCGTAGGACGCAGACGTATTGAACGAAACGGTCGGTCGGCCTGTTTTGGCACATCTGGAAGAATTGGTCGATGTAGTCATCGACCGTTTTCTCTGGCCGGAAGGTAGAGATGAGCTAGGAAGCCCATTCAAGGAAGGAATAGGGTGGGAGGCTGGCGTGGGTGCGGTTTGCCGTTTCGGTGTACCACCATCGCACAACGGTGTCTAGGAGTCTGGTTTTGGCGATGTGGACCCAATGGATAACGGGGACGCCGTGGAGAGAAAAGGCCTGGTGGAGTTGGGTGAGGACGAGGAAGACGTCCTCATGGGGTGAGCGGGAAAAGGTTGGAGCTCGTTGGAGCGGAAAGAGGGTGGGATCTTTCCTTCTTTGGGGTCCTAGGCGGCGAGGGTGTTGAAGTCGAGGGTAGAGGGGGAGGACGTGACTACATAGGGTTTTGGGGATAAGTACGTTTGGGGGCAAGATAGGTGGAGCGGGGTGGAGCATTGGGGGGAAGGAGGTGACCGGGGTGTAGGTAGGATGGGTGGAGATGATTGTAGATGAAGTGAGGGTTGGTTTGGTTTGAAGGGGGATGTTGGATGATTGTGTGATGGCGGGGGTTGAGGGCTTGGGTAGGAGGGGAGCAGGAGTAACAACGGTGGCGGAAGTGGTGGATGATGACGGGTGTGCGAGGGATGTGCTGGTTGGAGAGGTACATGTAGAAGGTGTCAGTGTGGAGGTTGAAGCGGAGGCCTGTTCAGAGGAGGAGGTGGGTTGTGGGGTAGAGGACGAGGTGGTTTGTGGTGCGGAGGAGGGTGGTGCAGTCGTGGTGACGACCGTGATGGCAAGGGAGTTTCCCTTAATTGTGGCTACGCGGTCGGAGATGGTCGACATGGTGGTGTTCATGTTGGCGATGGACGATTGGAGGGAGGCAAGTGCTTGGAGGATGGTCGTAAGATCGGGGAAGGCGATGGTCGTGGCTGGTTGGTCGCTGGTGAGGTCAGGATTAAATGCAATTTAAATTGTTAATATTTAATGAATGGGTTTAATTAACTTTAATATCAATGTAATTTAAGGGATTTTAATAAATTTGAAACGAATTTAAAGCGACTGTAATTAATTTCAACGAATTTTATTAAATGAATTAAATACTAAAACTGATTTGATTGAAATTAACTTATTTTAGTGTAAATTAACAGATTTAGATTGGATTTTAAGTTAATTTAAGTAATTGCCGAGAAATTTGAAAATGAATTTTGAAAAAAGGAGATGTCAAAAAATAAAACAAAAAAAGGAGATTAATTGAATTAATGTTTGATAATAAGGCGAAGATGCGAAATTCTAATCCAATTTGAAATACGAAAAGTTAATTATTTACGTTCAAAAAGGGAAATGTAAAATTTCAAAAATAAAGAAGTTCAATTAATTTTAATGTTCAAAATGGGAGAGTAAAAGTATTATAAACTTTTGTCGATCAAATAGGGGTATTGTACGGAGCGGGGGAAAGGGCAAGAGGAAGCGAGGTTGGGCGGTGGGGGCAGGGGGTGAGATCAGCCGCGTGGGGGGAGAAGAGGTGCACGCGGGGGGAGTATCGGGACCGGGGGTGGGGGTGATCAAGATCGGGTAGACAGCCGGGGGGGGATGACGAGACGAAGGGGAGCGAAGGGGGGAATGACGAGGAGAAGGGGAGCGACGGCGGGGGGGGGGGGGGGGGGGGCGGGAGATCAGGGTCGGGGACTGGGGAGGTGGGCGGGCATGGGGGAGCTCGTGTTTGGGATTGGGAGCGCGCGGGGGAGAGGGGCGGAGTTGGGCGCAGGGCGGAAGGAGATCGATGGGAGGGGTCGGGGGGAGTTGCGGGGAAGAGGGGTGCGATCAGGCAGGGGGGAATAGCGCGCGGTGTCGGAGGGCGCGGTATCCCGACCCTCCTCTGTGTACCAAGTTCCTGCTTGGTACCAGTCCTCGCTCTGATGCTCTGGCCTATAGACATATCTTGGACCCCTGCTGTTCCTGGTACCCAGGCTGTGCCTCGGCGCGGACCAGTCCCGGTGACGTTGCCCTCAACAAAAGGGGTGCGCCACAAGACTTCCATTGGTCCACGCAGGCTCGGCGCCCTGCTGTACAGCAGAGCACAGCCGGCCTGTGACCGTGGTAGCCGCCGGGTTCGCCCTGGGACGCGGAGGTGAGAAGACCGCTGTTGTCTTTTCTGTTGCGCGTCGATCGCGCCCTAGGCAAGTTATGGGTCAGGTGCATGATACTGACAGCAGTCAAGAAGGTAGAAAGCTAAAC